CAGCAGGCATAAGGGTGCATGAGGCTTTCTTTATCCTTTCTACTTCTTGATACAAAGTCACTCCCAGGCCAAAGCTGATCGCATCAGCTCCTAATACAGTGGGCGTGAACTAGTCATAAAATGACATGATAGGACATCATAATTGGTTAATAGAAGTTTAACCTCTGAGAATTTTTTTTTTTTTTTTTTTTCTGAAATTTGTCCCATGTCTATGCTACTCTGTGTATTTTTTCTTTTCTTTTCTTTAATAGTTCTTTCATTGGTTGTATCTCATCTGCTATGTTGGGATAGAAAATGTCCAAGGTATTGAACCATCCCAATGACATGTCTGTACTCTGACATACGAGTAGTCTCAGGTAGTTCTAGTATTACCAGTACTCGTTTTTTTGCTTGATTGTATGCCCTCTTTTGTTACAATGTGTTCAAAATATTTGATGCGGTTCTTACCAAACTGACATTTGGCTTTATTGAGCATTATTCCCGTCTGCCTTATTCACTCAAGAACTGTGGCAAAAGAGTCACTTACCGAGAAAAAGAGCATGTGTGTTCTGTACGATAAGCCAAAGACAAAATAACAAGAATAGAAACAAGTCGGTGGCAGCTGTTGCCATAAATGCCTCTTGGATATGCTAATATTGTTTGTCCTCTCCAACTGTCGACCAATGAAAAAATTGTTCCCTTGATAAAAGCAGTTGATGTTCTCAAATTTAAGTAGTTTATTTTTCTACTTCATCTGCTGGCTTGTGAGTTACTGTTTCCTTGTGTGTTGAATTTCTGACCGTTTACATGTATTGGGATTTTTGACAGCGGATAATTCTGTTTTTGTGGGGTTTATTAGCTGACATTCAGGGTTGCTAAAGAAATTATTCTTATGATCCTTTACAGTAATAAAGCAATTTTTCAAGCTCATTTTCTCAATGCGATTACCTAAGTTAAATTTGTTAGCTAAAATATTAGCCTCTTTATTAATTTTAGCTTCTATGTTATCCGGGGCTTTTTTATAATGTTTGATGACCTCTTTATGTAACATTTTATTATATTTATTAGGGCTCATTTGGAATCTAGATTTATCGGCTTTTACATAGATATTTTTATTATTCTTTATCTCTTTTACATCTTTACTAATTTGTTGCTGCATATTGTTATTACTTATTTTCCTATATTTTAATATTTTGATTAGACTGATTAATTCCGATTCGAATTTATCAAGTTCCTTAACGTGAGTGGGGGGGGGCATTAGTTTTAAATCCATAATTTTGACTGGTTTTTGTTATTTAAATTATTGTTTAGGCAAAAGTATGCTCTCCATCTCATATTTATGATGAACTTTTCTATTTTTCTTAAACATAATTCATACGAATGTCAGTCAGGTATCGGTATGTTCTTGAGTGAATATACTATGTCTATACATTCCATATTTGTCTGGCTCTCTAGATTTGACATATATATATATATATATATATATATATATATATATATAAATATATATAAAAAATATTGAAATGCTTAAAATCCTATAGGTAATAATTTTTATTTCATGAGAGCTTTAAAAATACAGCTCAATCTTCAAGACCTACAAACAAATGCCATAGTTTGTAGGTCTTGAAGATTTAGAGCTGTTTTTTTTTTTTTTTTTTTTTTTAACTTTTGTCTCTGTACCAGTTTATGCAGCCCTCTGACCACAACGAATCTTATTTGGCATAAAAGCTGTCCTTCTGTAGCAGAGTTGGATGTCTCAAATAGCAGTCTGTTCACTTTGTTTCATGTATCGATGAATATTGTCCAGTCCTATCATAGGTTGATCTGCTTTTTTGAAGTAGGACTTATTCAGCTGACCACAAAATCCTTCCTTTCGTAGTGCAATATTTTCTTTTTGTAACTCAAGTTGTTGCACGAGCTGCAAATACGGCCGGTCTATAGCTGATATTGTCTCTATGCTTCAAAGTTGAAAACTTTGGACGTTGGTATTTTTCTGTAGTCTTATACAAAAAATTTCATCGACAGTGCCATGTAAAGTGTTAGAATGACAAATGTAAAGTGTTTGCCAGTCAAGAGCTGAATCCCTGCTGTTCTCTAGTGGCTTGTTTATATTGGCACCATTTACCTGATGCTAGAGCTTTGCACGTGGACGAGTTAATCCAATATTTGGGTGGGGGGGTACCAGTGTTGTGTCAAAGAACGTCCCTCCATATAATACGTCTGATGTACTACTCTACAGAATTGATAACCTGTCTCTTTTTGAAGGTGTTTGTTCATTATGATAGAGACCTGAGCCCTCCAAGTAAACATACTTTCTTTGATAACTCCCTGCAACCTCCTGGATTGCACCAACTCCCCCCCCCCAAACACCACTGAACCTCCACTCCTGCTTCTTTTACTACACAGCCACAAAGATAATTTGTAAGAGAATACAGTAGACCTGTTCATTATTGGAAACTAAGTCTTTAAGGAAGACCAGAATTTGCTCTGGTTGTGTTCACTACAGGATCTACCACATGCTTTAGGTCCAAAACAAAGGCTTTCCTGATGCAAAATACAATGAAAAGATATCACTGAGTATTCTACTTTTAATTTGTTCTCTAAAAGTTTAATCATGCACAGATTTTTTTTTCCAGTAAATGCTCTCGCCCCATCTGTTGTAATGCTATTCCATGACACAATGCTTTTCTCCACAGAATCCGCAACATGCTCAAACAAGTCCTGGCCATTGGTTGTATTTTTTCATCAATTCCAAACCAAGTCATTCCTTGGTGATGACGAAACTTTTATCAATTCCACGGATAAAGATAAGTAATTGTGTAGTGTCTTAATTATCAGTGATCTTATCCACTGCTAAATAAAACCAAACAAAACCTTTGCTTGCAGAGTTCAGCTGTTTTGTTAGTTTGTCACTGATTATGTCTGTGCTGCACTATAACCCTTCTTGATAATGAAATGCTTTCAAATTTGCTTCTCGCATCAGAGCACAGGATGTTTGCATAATCTGCCAAGCACTGCTTAACAAAGTCTCCATCAGATAATGGCTTGTCATTTTTAGTGAGGTTGTATACTACCATGAAGCTTGCTTCTGTAGCACTATCCTGTTAATATAGTGTCGATTGCTTCTTAAATATGGTTTGTTGTTTCTTCAACTTCATAACAAACTCTGCAGCTTTTTTTTTTCCTGTGTTCTTCCTGGAACATTTCACTACCAAACTCGGCATGTTTTGTTTGGCATTGTCGTTTCACATTCTGTTTCTTGAATACGGCAATCATCTCATGACACCGTAAACACACTACCTTATTCTCTGAATGAAATACTAATGCATCCAATCTTCATTAAATGCACGGCATTCTTTTTCGATTTTGCACTTTTTAGGTTTTTTGGTTCACTCTGGTCGGATGTTACAGATTTTACTGCTAGAAAAACAAAACTGAAATGAGACAGAATTGCCGGCAAGATGGGTATCAACATCGATTACACATATGTATGAATGGATGCATGCACAGTAGGTATCTGGCTATTAAAATGCACGGCTAATTTTCTTTGACAAAAGGGAAGCCAGTCTCAGTTCAAGTTAGCCTCGGCACCCACAGTTCACTGTGATCATTTTACAAAAAAAATTTTTTCTTTGTCTAAAAGCTTTCACGTGTAGCAGAAAACTTTGTTGCAGACCATTTAATTACCCCCCCTCTTTGTTAGGCAATTAGGAAAAGTTGCATTTACCCCACCTCTTTGTTAGGCAATTAGGAAAAGTTGCATTTACCTTTGCTATAGTTACATAAAAGTTAAAAGAGAGGCAAAAAAGAAGCCAGCAGAGATGAATGAAATTGTCCTTAAATATGACCTCTGAATGAACACATGAATGGAGGGATAAAAAAATCCACAATTAAAAGTTACCAGATAGACTCGTGTGTTATGGCTGGCACAACACAAAATAAGAACCAGATTTGTAGAAATTAATGTTGAAGAAAGGAGATATCTAGTAAAATGCGGATTTTATTTTACATATAATACAATATATATCTTAGAACAATAGGGATGAGGTTTAAAACAATATAAGTTAGGAAATGCTAACAAGTTACTAAGCATGCGAGAACCCAGAAAGTAGTTGGCTTAACGTGTAAACATACAAGGGAGTGGGAGAAGAAATCCACTGTAGTTAAGATTAAGGCAACAGACAGGAATTTGTTGCTAGTCTGAGAATTATATTATCTTCTTCTTAGAATAGTTTAATTAATTCACATGTATATAAAATAAGAGTTTGGTCAATAATATCAAGGAAAGGGAGTGAAGTATTTACCAATAGTCTTTTCTTTTCAAGGACTGCAGGAATTTAGATTCTTTCGGTCAAAGTTTTGTTCTTAAATCAAAAGGACCGGAGTTGACCTCAATAGTCTTGGCTGCGGATCAGGAGGCAACTGGTTAATTGGTACAAACTCCTGTTTGTGTTTTTTTTTTTTTTTGTACCCTCTAGAACCCAGTAGAAGTTTCTAGAGACTTCTAGAAAATTCCATTCTATTATTATGAAATCTAAAGGGTTTGGTGAATGGGAGCTTTTCATATGGTAAAAAAGGCATCTAGTAGCTACAGATTTAAGTCATCATTTTAAGTTAGATTTTGTATTTTATAGTACAAGCATAAAGAAATAAGACAAAGTGGGGCCTCGTAACAAATGTATTTATTTCAAATCTCATGAAGTCCCTCGTGTTGGTTTTATACCCCTTGAATTTCTGAAACTATATCACATATCTACAACAGCAAGCAATGTGTTTAAAAAAAAAAAACAGGGAGCCCCCTGTAAACCTGAGGCAAAGTCGTGGATGTGCGGAACAGGATAACGGTCAGGTACTGTGTATGCATTGAGTTTCCAGTAATCCACGCAGATCCTGAAATCCCCGTCGGATTTGGGTACCAGATGCAGTGGTGAAGCATATGGGCTGTCTGAGCGTCAGATGATATTGTCAGCCAGCATCTTCCCAAATGCTTTCTTGGCATATGCTAATTTGTGTGGAGGGAGTCATCGTGGCCATGAATATGCTGGTTGTCCAGTGGTCTCTATATGGTGTTGGGTCTGATGGTCGTCTGCATCAGTTGGTTTAATGGGTTGTGTGAGGTCCTTGTACCGGCGCAGGATTTCTACGTAGTGTGGGTCGTGCTGTGTTGCCACGCTGATCCTAGTTGTGTTGAGGCTCGACGAGATCCCTGTGATCTTGATGGATGTCGTGTTGTCGGACAGGGTCCGTGTCTTCATATGGACAGCCAGGTTGTAATGTGCCAAGAAGTCTGCACCGAGCAAGGGTGTCCTGATGTCAGCTATGGTGAATGACCACTTGAAGTCGTGCCTGAGGTTGATGTTCAAGGTAAGTTCCTCATTCCCATAGGTTTCTATGGTGGAGCCGTTTGCCGCTCGAAGTTGAATGGGGTGGGTTTCAAGGCAGATCTGTTGGTGGGTGGTATCACGCTGATAGCTGCACCAGTGTCAACTAGGAATTTGAGGCTATTGTTACGGTCCCACACGTAAAAGAGATGACTGTGTGAGCGAGTAACGACAGGGATCATCGTCGCTGCCTGTCAGTCTATTCATTTCCCTGGGTCTTATTGCATCTGCAGGGAGGGTGGCACTTGTGGGCTTGTTCATCGAAGGTTTGGTGGTACCAACATTTGTCCACATTGTTTCTCCGTCCTGGACTTGAGCTGCGGGTACGGCTTCGATTCCATGTGCGTGTTGCTGGGCTTCGCTGCCTCTGGCATAGGGAAAGTTTCAGGTCCCTCAGTTCTGCACGTAGCTGGGCCATCTCCTCTTCAAGGCGTTGTGTATGGTTTCCGTAGCTTTCAACCTGGTGGACTTTTTGGTGAGCCTAGGAGTATATTTTGTCAACGTCAAGGGGAGTTTCTACTGGTACCAGGGCTAGGACTTGCGTTATATTCGGTGGTAACCAATCCATCCATAGCCCTCGGAGGATGGGTTCTGCCATGGTGTTGTTCCCAAGGCGGCTCTTCATCAGATGTAGGAGCTGGGATGGGGTTCTATCACCGAGAGAGACATTAGAGAATAGGTCTCTGATGAGGTCTTCGTCCGAATGTCATGGCTAACAGAATCCAAAACATCCAAAGGATATCCCTTTTTTAGAAAGTGTCATCTTAATAAAATCAATTTCACTGCAGAGAAAGCTATCAGAACAAATCATAAGTACTCTATAAATTAGGGTCTTAATTAAATTAACTTTCCATTGTCTAGAACAGAAAGAGTCCCAACGTGTATAAAGTCCTGAGAAAGTAGCCTTCCTAAATACAGAAGTCAAAAACTTGTCACTAATCCTATGAACAAGAAAATCGAAAAAGGAAAGACAAGAATTGGACTCCTTTTCTACGGTAAACGAAAGAGCGGGATGGACAGAGTTTAATTCGATGAGAAACTTGTCGGCTTCAGACTCGTTATTAAAGAGGCAGAACGTATCATCCACATAATAATGATACATAAGAGGACAACCAATGCAAGAAAATAAGGAAGCCTCATGAAAACCAACAAAAATATTCGCTAGAGCTGGATCCAAAGGCGAAACCATAGCTACCCCGTCAATCTGCCGATACATATAATATTTTTTAAACTAAATTCCAAAGACGCAGTGGCGAACATAAGATCCACAAACGCACCCTTGGGAAAATCTGGAGGAGACAAAGAGGTACGATACAACATATTGCAACACATCTCACTACTCTCGGACAGGGTAACACAGGTAAACAAGCAGTCAAACGAACACCTAAACCTACCATAAGTAGAATGTTGCAGGCCTGGTAGCATGCAGTGCTGGTTTATAAAAATGTGGCCTTGTGCCAGACACTACTTATGACTACCGAATCCACAAACAAAGTAAAAATATTAAATGAGTGATCTTAGTGAGGAAAAGGGGTCATTCAACAAGTGCATAAAAATAATACAATGTAGATAGACAGGAGGAAATGACAAAACGAGTCTGGTTGGAAACATATATGAAATTTTATTTTAATAACAAATAATCTAGTCTCGACTGTGGAGACTATCAGAAAAGGTTAGGTCTGTTTTTTTTGTCTGTAGGCAGTTAGTAATATGTAGAGACCATTAGAATATTAAAGTTCCGTGCCAAAACAGAAAACCAAGATGGCTAAGGCGGGAAAAGTTTCATCAGAAAGAAAGTTCTGGAAAAATGTCTTGTTCGAAAGGTGTATGCGTACACAAATAGGAAAGGTACTCACTGCGAGGTTTAATAATGTGTGTATCAAGTTATCTTTTTTGGAACTGGTTAGTAAAGGTTAGGAGTTTCAAAGGTGTATGAAAAGTTCATCTATCTTCAGTGAAGGAAAATTCTGAGTTGTTCGCATCAAGATGAGGAAAAGTCTTGGAAAAGTGTGCTGAAGACAGTGTCGTAGAACTCTGGTAGTGAATAGAGGAAAGTTCGAAAGTTGTTCGCATCAAGACGAGGAATTGGTTTTGGAAAAATATATTGACAACAGTGTCATAGTCTCTACATTTTCTAGCTGAAAACAGAGGAAAGTTCAACATGCTGTTCGCATCAAGACAAGGATAAATCTTGAAAAAGTGTGATATCAATATGTTGAAGTTTTGGTTAGTTAAGTATAAGATATTCTGGTCCGCGTATGGGTTAGGGGCATGGAATAAATGAGTTGACCTTCTAGCTTGAAAATCAGGCAGCAACTGACTTGAAAACGCTGTTCGTTGGTGACGTCAGAAAATGTGCGGGAAAAACTCAAATCCTGTCCAAGCTGGAACCAGAAGCAGCTAGCCAGCAACCTTCCTCACAACAGCCAAAAAGGGGCTGTTTACTGCTATGTCTAGCTGAACGTGACAGGAAGGGGTGCAATCCGCGCGCGCACATAAAAAGGGTGGAATCCATGATTCCACAAGAAAAATTACGTATAATTTCATCCAAGGAGAAGGAATCTTTAATACAATAAGTACTGAAGTGCGACAAAACTGGTTGTAGCACTGTCGAGAGCCAACTAGCGACTTTATGCTGGGAAGACCCAATCATGGACAGAATGGGTCGTAAAGGGACACCATCCTTATAGATTTTAGGTAACCCATACAAACAGGGATGAATGGACCCAGTGGGTCTAATTAACTCTGAAATTTCAGAGGGGAGTAAGCCACTCTTGACCTACTTTAACAGTTGCCTTTGAAATTTCGATTCAATAGAGGCAGTGTGATCATGGGTCTCAACTGGACCTAATTTGAAATGTAGAAGTCTGATTCTACATTATATAAACTACATGAAAAAGTATTTTTTTTCTTTTTTTTTTTTTTTTCTGAATAGATACTAAAGTTCATGGAAAATGTCATTTAAGTTAAAAAAACAAAAAAAAAAACTATTTTATGTTCAACTTTTTTAAAACTTATTAAGTATAACAAAAAAAAGAAGAAAAAAAAACATAACTCTATTTCTATTCTCTTATTTCATCCTTGCCTCCTCCCCCCACCTGCTGTAACTTTCTGTTCTTCTGAAAGTTGACTTTATTCTATTCTCTCTCTCAGATTCAGTTACTCATACTGCTGTTACTACTACTGCTACTACTTAATGAAGATTTCTTTCCTCAAACCCAATTTTGGACACACAAATCACTTAACCGTAAAAGACTAAAATATACTGTTGGGACTTTTGGTTCATTTAATTAATCAGAAGGATTTTGTTCGGATCGGTTGTGTGTCTAAACCTTGTCCCAAACAAATATATAACAAACATGAGATTTCAAACAAAGTAAAAACGAGACATTTATAGATCGAAACAAATAAAACATTTATATACCATTACATATTTACAAACAAGGTTAATATTTGTATTGTTGCGTGCGTTAATTGTATATGTTGCTGAAATGTTGGATGTCTCTGTGTCGTTATGTTTGTTATTTTGTGTTTGTGTTGAAATATATAATAAGAGTTTTTTTTGGTAAAGTTTGCTAAAGTAGTCTACCTTTGAACGTGTCTGTGTTTGTTTTCGTGATTCGTATTTCTTATTTTTAGTAATGAATAAATCAATGTGCATAAGAAATATTGTTCAAAGTTTCGATAGTTGTTCGTTGAGTGTTTCAGGTGAGTCAGTTGAAGTTCGTCAAAAATCTTGCGGTAAAATTCTGTTTTTGAATGTCGTGGATTAATTAGGCAATCGATCGGCGAGTTCGCTAGACTGATTATTTATTGCACATATGTACAAATGTGGCACAAGGCGAAAAGGGATTGGGGTAAAGGATGGTCATCACTTGTCTTAGATTAAACTTAGCTAGCCACAATCACTGACCCTATCATACAGAACAATAATCCTTTCACCAAAACAACACATTTATCCATACCTTTCTTACAACAAACACCAAAATGCCTCTTTGACTCCATGAAAAAACCTAAATAATCCCCTTATGTACAAAGTATTGTCCGTGGGGGGATGGGGCATAAAAACAACAACTTTTAAAAATGAACCCCAATGAATATATACAAAAATGACAAAATATATTTACAAGAAACCAAATAAAATTTGTATTAGTAATAAAACCCCCCACAAACTCTTGAATGTGGCAGAAATATCAGTTAACTGGACGAAATCGATGCGGAACTTATGAAAATAAGGCCACACTCATTCTTCCCTAGCATTCACACAGGCACACACTCATTCATACACAACAACAAATACGAAAAACACACACACGAAACGAAAGGCGCCCCGCATCTACCAGAGAACTGACATCACTGACCACCTAAAAAACAAGGGAGGGGATGGGGAGTTAAACCAAAGGAAAAGAAAAAAAAGGGGACGGAAATAAAAAGGGACCAATGAGCAAATACACCCTAGCTAAGTTTACCAGAATCGGAAAAAACAAAACTAAAAGAAAAAAATCCAAAAACCTAATCTAACCTAACTCAGGGATGGGTTACCTATGTTTAACCCAGGAAAAACAATATCCTTAATGCCTAACCGGCATCCAAATGCCACTCAAGGTCAGCCCCTTTTACTCGGCACATTCGCGCAAGATTCACCCACCTTTTGCTGAATTCCGATGAGGTGAGCCGCCGCCTTTCCGTCCTGATCTTGACTTTAAGCTGATGCTTAAAGAACAAGATCAGTTGGGAAAAGTGAACTTCTCGCCCTCATGGAATCCCTTCTGACGCGTCGTCCAAATCACGACTCTCATAACCCCTAGTAAGCAACAGAACACATAGTGTTCAGCCTTCGTCATCTGCGGCACCACATTGCTACAAACAGAACTGGCTTCCAGGACAAAAAACTTTCCGTGCAGCATGCGAACCATGAGGCCTTCAATAAACCTGCTAACGGCACTATCGCCTCGCACTGACTGAAAGGCGTGACCAATAGTCTCGACCTTCCCGCTATGACGACAGTTTGGATATTTCTCAAGCCTGCTGCGCAAAGTCTCTTGCCGACCCAGAGGGCTTCACGAATCACCAGCCAGGTGAGTGATGCCTCATCGTTATTGAGGCATTTCAACCCGAAGGCGCCCAAAGGCCATATCGAGCGAGCCTCCTGCGCCGTAAGACCGAGCTCGCCAATCAGCTCATCTTGTGCGGACCCCCTAACTAAAACTTGATATAATGCCTTGCGAGACAACGCCTGGGCGTTGGAGAGACCATCCGAAGCCCGTAAGAGGGCTTCAGCGGCGCGACGACAT